TCCAGTTCCAGTAAGCCCCCCTAAGAAAGCAGCTTTCAGTTCCAGCAGAAAATTCTTACTTAGTGGCTAAAAGACTTCCAAGTTCATGATCCAGAACAGGCCAAGAGCACTTAAAAGTCAACAACATCATAAATTAGCTAAGTAAAACTAAAGTACTGAAGTATCTGAGGTTGATTTTGGGGATATCAATTCAGAACTCAACTCAGACTTCCAAACCCTTTTTAATTTGCTTATAGAAATTCAGTCTCAAAAAACAGTCTGTACCAAAATACTACATGCCACAAAACCCACCACTGAAACCTTGAACAGGCTTTTGTATTACAAAGGCCAAACCTTTCACCCCCCTTGACTACCTTTTTGCTAAATCAGACTTCGAATGGAGAGCTCTTCTGGGAGGAATTAAAAGACACTCACAAACTACCCTCATTTTAGATTGACTTTGGCATTTTATAGGGATGTTACAGCTATGTCTAGCCAACTCTTGGGTGGAAGACTTCCAACTTAGGATTCTGCGGTGTGTAGGGCTGGTGGATGGGTCACATTCTTTCCTCCAGCCACACAGACTGATGTCCTAATATGGTGATAGGTGGCACTATTCTGTGAGCAGACTCTTTTTCCAATAAAATGTAACTCTTTTTCACTGAATACCACTGTAATGTTTCACTGAATACCACTGGAATGTTTGGGAGTGTGGTCTTAACCTACTCTTTGGCAAATCCAGGGCACGAACTACCTTAGTCCCAGAGCCGTTTCAATAAGCCTGGCCTGGTACATGCATCAAATTTTATGTTCTGCTGCTGTTACAGGGGATATAGGTCTTCATGTATATTTTAAAGATACTCTTGCTTTCTAAGTAGGATCCCACTAAAGCTAAGGAAACCTTTGAAAATTCAATCTAGTATTTATTTGTCAAAGTTCTGTGAGGTTCTTTAGAATAAAGGCTCCAGATCTGTAGAAAGAATTATTTAATGACACAAAATTTAAAATCTTTGCCTTGTGCTGTCATTAGTTTAGACTCCCTAATCTGCCGATTGCTATAAGAATATATGAATATTCTTTCTTTGCAGTGTACCTTTCATACCTTCGTTTTTCCTCTTTCTTTGTAGGCATCACTGCTGTATAAGGATCTATAAATAAGAATCCACTGAGGCAGGACACATACATTTTTTTAGGCAACTGAAAGCCAGAAACTTGGACTGCAGTACCAAATGCCTCATTAACATCCTCTGACAGTTTTAATCTGTGTGCTTCAGCTTCACCTAGAAGAAAATATATGTCAATATTTTTCCATGCTTATGACATGTTTTGTCATTACTGAAGTGTGGCATCCAAGTATCTTTTATTATCGCTTCCATATTTCACAGATAAAGAGGTAAGATACACAGGCAAGCAGATTTGCTTTCCAAAAAAAAAAAAAAAGTAAAGCAGCAGTGAGAGGAAAAATACCCCACCTCCTTATTATGTGATCTTCCAAAATTTCTTTTTGTCTTGGTGTTGCAGTCACTTAATGTAGTATCACTTTCAGATGATACTTCCATCTGTAGTCACTTGGAGTTCCTGTGTCTCCCCAGAATACCCTTGGGGTTACCAGTCTCTTGTATTTAGCTCAACTTCTTACTATAGACCAAGATTTTTTAAAAATAGCAGCACTGGGGACCTCTAATGAAAAAGAAGCTATTTTACATTTATTTTTTTGCCATCCATTCTTACTGGCAATTTGATGACATTCTGAAAACATTTGGCATTAGGCAAGCAATATGATTGGGCTAATTAACAATGATGCTCTTAAATGCTGCACATTATTGAAAAAAATCTTCTAATAACAGACAGAGAGTTTTCATCACAGGAAAGCCATAGAACTCTGTAGACATTAAAGCAATATTTTCCCAAGCATTTTAGGTTCAGCTTGTTATAATAGGGTATCTGTTGAAGCTGCATTCCCAGGTTTAGACCGTCTATAGATAGCAAAATACAGTACAATAGAAAGGTATCAGATTTATCATGAACACTTTTCATGGAAAGGAGCTCACTCTTTATTAACCACCAAATGAAACAAAGAAACGGTTCAAAATGGGGAGGCAGAATGACTTGACTTTGGTTTTGTTCTTTTCCCACACACTCCCCTCTCTTTCTAGCTTGGATCTTTTGTTTTATATTCTATTCTGCAGAAGGGCATTTTGTGCTCCTCTCCCCTGGTCTCCAATTTGTCCATATCACATGAAGGATAACCAGAATGTGCCAGGTAGCAAAGGCAGAGCTTGCTATGGTTAAGACGGCAGAAGAGTTAGTGGGCAACGTGAGAGCCGAACCATGCCTGCCCTCCCTCCATAGCACTGCAGCCTCTGCAACTTCGCCTCCTTTACAGAGGGGCAGGTTATGGCCAGGAGGAGGGGCAGCTCCCAAGAGATACACTTTCGCACTCCAGTCAATTTGCAGACATCAAACAGCTCCATGGGGTTGTTGTACTAACACTATCCCATTTGTTGTCGTCTTAGGCTCTGGAGAAAACTTTTGAGTAATGCTGAGTTTACTTAGCTGCAGAAAGTTTGTTGAACTTCAGTTCATTCTGAGGCCTGTTAACAGCAGGGAAAGTCCAGCCTACAGCTACAGAGGATTCACTGCTTGACGACATTAATAAGATCCAGATCCAAGAGGTAGACACAGCTGTGATCTTCCATATCCTCTGACCTGCAGGGTGAGTATGCTGAAGCTTTTCATCCCCCTTATAATGCTCCCACTCCCCACGCAATTGCTCAGGGTGAGGGGAAAACAGGAGAAATTAGTCCCCTAATTTTGCAATAATAAGAATCTGTAAAACTCCTCTGTGCAGATCAAGCTTAGAGAGACTGCTATAAAGGTACACCAGCTTCACCAACTTTTTCAACAGACAGACTCATTAAGACAAGAGAACCAGAAGCTTTTTACAAATACCAAAACCAGAAGAAAATAAACATAAACATAAGGGAGCTGACACAGGTTGGTTTTTTTTTTTATAAAGTCAACATTCTGGAAATACAAACAACAGCAATAAAGCTAAGGATGCATTAAGCTCTGAACATACTTCATGAAAGTGGTTTCTATGTGTGTACCATATATTACATTTAAAATATGTTTTTCATGAAATGTTTAATGAAATACCTTTGTATTTGTACATCTCAGAGTCAGAGCTGAAAAATATAGCAAGTGTCTGAGGGAGAAAAAGTGCCTAGCTAGATTTTTAGCTTTGTCTTTTCAAAAAATACCTCCATTTCTAATGTGAGCAATTACATTTAGTGCAACACTTTTCTTAGTGTCAAGTATCATTTACGTATGAGTTATATATGAAGCAACCGCATGCCAAAAGCTATTCAGATTAAACAATTTACATTCTCTATTCAGAAAACAGAGAAGGCCCTATTCTGAAAATCGTGGCTTGTGGATAACCACTGATTACTGGTGGTTATTTTTCTGAGCAGAAGTTAGCAGGATTAAGTCCTAATCTGTGCACCTGACATCAAACCATCAGGGAAAATCCACATAGACAACAGATGTTTATCCTAAAGTTTAACAGCAAAGCACACAAACCACATCAGAGAAAACACAAGAGCCCTTTTGAACTGTATTTATTATTGTCAGGAAATATATACCTTTCATCTCCTGTAACGGAATGTTTGGTTTATTAAATCTAACTTGAACAGGTGAAATGGTAAGCAATAATTCAGTTAATAGCTTAACTTTAAAATTCAGATGGCATTGCTATAGTTTAAGGGTATATCAACAGAGGGCATAAAAAGTAAAATGAAGAAAGTTGTAAGAGACTGAAAGACATATTCATTACTGCTTTAGATCAGTAGCTTCCCACAAAATTTTTTTTGCTTACTGACAAATGAAAAACTGTTACCACTAGAACCTTTCTAGTCATGTGTTGTTTTACTGTTCTTACAAAAATGATTTTCTAGTTTCAAAATAATTTTCATGGATATATCAATCAGTATATTGTCTCTGTGATTTTTGTCATACTCCTACAGCACTTGCATTTCCAAAATGTGCATGATCAACAAGGAAATTTAGCAGTTGTCTAATTCCAAGTTCCTATCCATGTTTGCCTTGCCTTTAATCATCTAAGTTTTATGCCTTGTGTCATGCCATAGAGCTGGGATCTCATCTAGATGCCACATTGTTGTCTTTGGTAAAAAAAAAAAAAAAAAAAAAAAAAAGCATTGCTTTCAGTATTAAAGCAAAAGTATAAATAAGAATTTGAACATGCAGAAAATTCAAATGTTGCAGATGGTTCCTATCAAAAGACTGATATGTGGATTTAGCTTTATTGGAAAGCTAAATATTTATAAAATAATTTGGGCTTGTATTTAAAGGTCATCTAATTAAACAAGTATGTAACATTAAATTAGTCACAAATGTTCTTAAAATATTGTTTTGTACCATTTACAATTAGCCAGTAGAAAGCTGACTCATACTTCTCACATTTGACAAAGTGTTACTTCTGATTTTTAAAGCAACAGAAGGTTTTAAGCTGTATCAGGCTACTAATATTTAAATGGGAATTGAGAATCAGCTTTGAGTAATTTTTGGCACAATCTCCTACCTTTTCTCCCAACGGTAAATTTCCCATTAACTTTCACAGAAATGTTCTTTCTACACAACTGGACAAATTCTACCCAGATTTATAATCTGGAATCCTAAACAGAGCCAGTAGGGATGCAAACAGCCCAGCAGTTATCTGCCAAAAGGTGACATGCTGCGATGTGTCTGTTTGCCATCAGGATACTGCTGTAGTAAAAACTAATATTACAGTTATCCCAAACACCTTTTCAAAGCCACTGCACTTACTTTGAACATTTACGCAGTGTTTACTTCAGAGAAACACTAATCTGAATGTATGGAGGGTTAATTTGATTCCTGCAATTTAGCAACTTTGTAGTACAGCATCCGTAAAGCAACAGATAACTGTGGTTTCAGAGGAAGGATTTTAATGAGACAGGGAGATGCCTTTTAAAAAAAAAAAAAAAGATGGGACCAGTTCTTACTAATTGCTGTTGTACCCACTGTTCTTCTGCTGGAGTTGACAAAGGCTGTTTCAGCTTTATTTAATACCTTCTTGATTTTTTTCTACAGAGAGGGTGATTACATACAGTCCTGTACTGAAATGTTTGCCCATTTGCCAAATGATGTGAAATTAATTAACAAATACACACCAACAAAAGTTGATTCCCCTAACTGTAACAAGCCAACAAGCTATAAGAAGTTCTTAGCCCAATGCAGCATTTTACAAAGCCCTAATAACGTGGCCTTGGCAGGAGTATACACAGCAGTTTTAACTGCTGTAGAATTATTTTTCGCTTCAAAACAGTTTATGCCCAGAGTACATGCAGTTTTAGTTTGCAATGCTCAAATCTACAATCTAAAATCTCCAACAGGGTTTGTTTTGATCTAAATTGGCTTCAGTTTGGAGGTCATTTTGTTAGCATAAAACAGAATCAATGAATTCTCAGTTGTACTTGATTCTTCTTTTCCATTCTGGGCATAGCTTTGCTCCTAAAAAGAAAAAAAAAAAAAATTAATTACAAGGAAATAAAACATATGCCCAAATCTTTCTCTGAGCTTATGCCAAATAGTAATATATGGGTTTCAGTTCCTGCTTAAAGTGACAGTCTGCAGCAAAATTCCTATGGGTACAAAACCACATTGCAACATAGCCTCTTGACACAACATATAACAATATCCAGCAAGCTTAATACACTACATAATATATTTCAACATCACAGCCACAGCTATTTTTAGACATCTAATTCTCTAAGCCTTTCTGTGTTGTTGTAAGGAACTCTGGCCATCAGATTTGCTGCCTGCCCCCCCCAGTTCAGCTGGAATAATATCTGCCAAGAGCTCAGAACTTCATACAGAGCAAACTGGCATATTGCCATCTATATCAGCAGTTTAGAGAGTTCCTCCCACTAGTGACCTCCCACTAGTGAAAGAGGTAGAGATTTTCAGTCTGATATAAACTTCATAGCCTTAAAATACTTACAAAGGTGAATCTGAATACCATTGTAATTCACCTATTTAATACAAATTTAAATCCATGTAAAACAGCAAAATATGCCTATCAAGGTTGTTTCCTTATTTTAAGGAATTCAGTCCTTTCTTGATTAAACGAAATTGCAAAACTCCTGCCCATTTCACTGGGGGAAGAATCAGATCACTTCAGATCTTTATCAGGGACTGCACCCTCCCATGCATGTTTTTACAGGAGAATCATCTGTACTCAAAAGTATTTTTGCACTGTAAATTAACATGAAAAATGAGGCCCATAACATAGAATCCAAAACAGTCAGTCAGTACTGTTTTCTCAGACCCTAGTATTTAGACATCTTATTTAGTCCCATCAGGCTAGTGATACTCCATTTCATAGGCTTCAGGAAAGATCCAACATCCAACAACATTTAGCGGAAGAAATAACAAATGTGCAAGTGGAGCAGGGTGTCCTGCTTGTTTCATTAACAAGCACAAAGCATACATGTGCTCAGCAGAATGTTATGCATGATCAGACTGAAGGACATGATAGTAGCCAAAGCAGCTCTCACTGAAGTTGCTTTGTGTCTTTATCAGTCAGTGCTGTCCCTTCTTCCCAGTAAAAGTAGTCAAATTCTCAGCTTGGACATACCTTATAGAAGGCTGAAGTCTTGGTATACCACCATTTCTAACACTTCCATAATTAGCTTTTTCTCTGGCTTGGAGGGTGTTGGGGAATGAGCAGGAGGAGAGAAAAAGCTATGTGTTAAATATTGTAAGACTTCCGCTGTTTTATATGTAACATCAGAAAGAGAGAACTTCTGCATAAGGTCGTTCTCATGGTTTTCATTATCGCATATAGTTAATCAAAAACACTTCAACCCCAGGCAACCAACACACTGCAAAGAGAATATTAAAAGGGTATAAAAGCATCCTACTCACTTGGAAACTAATTAACTTGGTTAAAAATGAAACAGTTTTTTAGAAAGTACTGTAGTGTCAGGAAGGCCTTGTTGATACCTCAGATTTACTATGTGTGCACACAAATGAAAACCAATTTTGCTTCTGTTGAAGGTAATGGCAAAAGTTGTCTCAAGTGCAGGCAGATCAGCCCTTTAGCATTGGGCTTAAATCTGGAAATACATAGGATAGTCATATAGTGGCTCAGGTTTTAAAAAAACAAGAAAAAAAGAAAGAAAAAAAGAAAAAAATAGTCTTTAGGTGCTTGATACTATTTTTAAGAGCAATTTATGTATTTAATTCCAAAATAATAGCCCTGAAAATCATTCTTTGACTTCCTAAAATTTGCAGTGCCCCTATTATTGTGAATATCTATTTCCAGTTTGGCACAGACTAAACAGCTTTTTTCTGAAGTGTTACATTTCTCCCTACTTTACTTACCATTTACCTAAGACCAGATATAGACCCAGCGCTCTTGGGGCCAAACCTCTTCCAATGAGCAATGAGAGTCTACAATGTAGATGTCTTATTCAGACATTGCTAGCAAGTATCTTGCTATGGACAAGGGAGATCAAGTCTCTGTACTTAATGGAGTTTGGGGCACAATCCACCTGCTCCCAAGATTTACTCAAAAGTATTATGGTATAGATTCCACTCATTCTATCATCAACCTCAGGCATTGATACCTGGAGGCAGGTAAGAAGAGCTCTGTATCTGGGGTCACCCTGTTTCTCTTACCAAGTGCTCATTCTCTGAGCACATCTTCTGAACACAAGCTGAAGAAGTATCTCCGTAAAAGGCAGTAGCAATTTCTTTCATTTAGATGTGTGGAAGAACTACCTTCCCTTTTACACCAAGAACAAATCAGAACAAACATGTAGATTATTAAATAATTTTCTGAGGACATTTGAATTCATGCCCCCAGGTATGCCAAAGCCCTCCAGGTGTTGGCTGGTCTGATAACTATGTCAGATGAGAAATTGATGGTTTCAGACCCTCTCGATGAAACCATTCCACTAAACAAATAAAAAAATAAAAATTCATCAAGGTGAAAAAGACAGCAAGAAGGAGCGAGGCTTTTTGCAGCATGGCATGCAAAACTGCAGTCTCCTGAACAGACTTCAGAAGCAAGCATCATCCTTTCTTTCTGCAGGCAACCTACCTCTCAGCACAAACCCACATTCTCACCACTCATAAGATGGCCATGATTGAATGTCCCACCCACTTGGCGCTTCATGAGGTTTCCAAATTGAGATCCCTCACTGAAATCCTGAATAAAATACATAAAATATGCAAGACCAGAATGAAACCCACCTTTGTTTACCACATTTCACCCAGACTGGCTTGAGTGATTCTAACCAGCTGGTTTGGATTCCATCTTGAGGTTTTCCTCTGTATGGAACTGATATTAATTCTGGGTCATTTTCTAGGCAGCAGTTTGGTAAGAAGAACGCAACTTCCTTAAGATGGGCTCAGCCTCTGCCAGTTTCAGTCCTGACCATGCACTGAAAGCTGCCTGGATAGAATGTATATCTATATGGAAAACCAATGAAATTCCCAGCAAGTGCCTTAATATGTTATGGAAATTTCTGAAGCATGGAGGCTTTAATTTTAAATTCTCCCTTGCTACATGGATTAAAATTAGAATAAGCAAAATTAACAAATATTTCTTCTTAAAAAAAATAATCCCATCAAATCCTACATTCGAGTATTTTTAGACATAACAGCACAAAAATTTAAATAAGGTTCTCAAAAACTTAGTATAGAATATGTCACAAGTCTTAAAAATTGTTGCTGGTGCCTATTGTGTACTGTGATATTTTAAGGGTTATTCTGTTGCAGTGATTAATAATAGATAGCACACATTACAGTGGTTTTATTTACTCAGCTTTCTCTCACATGAAACTAATCCACACATACATTATTGATAAATAATGCACACCTCTCCAGTTCACAGCATCTAAATTATGCAGAATTAGGAACAGCTGACAAACTAATAAACATAACTGTTTAGCCTTGGAGATATCACTGTATATGTTGCCAGAATACTTGGTGAATTGCAGTTTTGAGTAGAATCTACAGTTTTATATATAGATGGAGTTTTTCCATTTGCCATGTTTGGCACTCTCATTACTCTTGCTCAGAAAAAATATATTAGAATTGATTAAATACATACAGAAGCATCATTTGAAGGCAATAATGCAGCCTTATAAAAATAGAAAGCTTTGCAGTATTTCAGAGTATATTAACTTGCAAATGTTTAGGTAGTGCATTACACGATAGTTGTTCCATCAACAATAAATAACCTACCAATGTTTGCTCCTGTCTTATTTTTTACAAAGCAGTGTTTATTTTCGTCTAGGAACTAAACGCAACATTGTCAAGAAAATCTCTCAACAGTCATGAAGTATTTACTACAATATTCACCTGAGAGCATCACCCAGTGCAGATTTTCAAAGGAATAATCTTAGGTTACATTTGCATTGGGTTTCCAGGAGGAAGTATGAGTTTTCCTATGCGGACACACAAGGCCAAATTCACCTCATCAGTTCACTTAAGTCATGTCTAGAATGAATTTGGGATATTCTCTATTCAACTGTGTTGAATTAGACTTTGCATCTTCAGCTTTATTTAGATGGAAATAATTACCTGAGAAAAGCCCCACAGAATATTCATTATTTAATATTACAGTATTACAGAGAAATAGGCAAAATTTTACATTACATTCATTATACACTGTATGTTCTGCCAGTTATAACTGGACAGCTTAGATGAACAATTCGTTCACCTACGGGCCAATGTCGTACATTGTGAGATTTGGGGCTTTTTTGATCACTGGGGCAATGCGAGTATGAGACGAAAGCTTAAAACCTTAAGAGCAAGCCATTCTTCAAATACTGAAATCTAAATCCCATTTTATTATACTGTTAATGAACTGCTGAGATTCTCCTTTGCTTGTTAACATGATAGCAGACAGATGAGAAGAAATAAAAAGTACTGGCCTGTGAAAGGCAAATCAAAAGGGGAGATTGAAGGGATTTCTCGAGTTACTCAGGTGAGTCTTTAAACCCCAGCCGGTGACCCAGCCAGTGGTCAGAACGGTGCAGGTTCCGTTTGGTTGCTCTGAACGCTTAGACACGATATCCAACTGTCTGCCCAAAAGGCTGAGAATTTGCAGTTTCTTTGTAAGCTTACTGCACAATAAACAAAAGAAGGGAATTCGATACTAACTAAACAGAGAATGAATAGTCAATAACATTGTATAAACTTTTTCAAGTCACAAATCTTTATGCAGCAGGAGTGACTTTGCATGTTACTAGAGTCTTTTACTGCAAAGACTGCTTTTTTGTTGCCTCCCCCCATTTTTTAGGTGTAAAATGTATTTTCTAAAATGAGCCCTCACTTGTTGACAGGTAACAGCATCAAATCCCTGATATATAAAAGAAAGGTAAACCATAGACTAAACAGAAGTTAAAATGAGCAAAGAAAATTGAAAGCACTATCACTACAGAGATATCTAAATATTCTGCAGAACTGCAAAATAATTATTTTACAACTTTCAACATGAGTGGCATAATGTTTATGAAAAAAATGATTCCAGTTTTTTAAAAAGTATATTTTTCCCATTTTTTGATCTCCAATTCTTAAATTTTAATAAAGTATTTGAAGTACCATTATCAACATTTGAGTAGAAAAATCAAATATGTAACAAGTTCCATGCTATCACAACTCAACAACTATGAAATGAGGCATGTGAAGAAGAAACACAGAGGACAAAATGCAACAAAATGACACAATTGTGAGTGCAGTTGACTTGTTTATAGTCCTAAACCTGAATACTCTTATAGTGGAAACATTATTGTATGCATCATGGTGTCTATTTCTCAGAATGCATTAGCTGTCAAGTTAAAGTAATACCTTACATGCCCTTTTAGTAACTTGCAGAATTAGCTTTATGAAACCCAGCTGTTCAAAATAAAGCCTGGGATAGCACTGCCATCTAGCATCTTTGAAAAAAAAAAAAAAAAAACAACAAAGTCTCTGCACTTACAGAATTAGTAGGTTAGCATTTATTAAAACCTACCAATCTTTGTTAACAAATCTATGCCTCAAGTTGTAACCCTCAGGAGAGCAATAGGACATGTTCTGATAATCAGTGTTTTGATAATCAGCGTATTACCAAATATAACATCTGTACACATCACAAGCCATCTGGACAATAAAAGTGTCAGACAAAACTCTCCTTTGAAAGGGCTGAACCAAGACTGGAAAGAATAGGGCTGCATTTACTCATGCAGTGCTAAGTTGTAATACATGGATACTGTGAAGCTTTGCTAAAGATGGGAAGAAGGAAAGGCAAGAGGTTGTCTTTTGGGAGCAGATGGGCCAATAAGCAGACTAGAACCACTTCTTAGGAAAGCCTGCTGCCTCCCTGGGGCCTGTGTTGAAGATGAGAAGAGAAAGCTTCCTACCCTGTAAGCTTTCAGATTATTACCCATTATTGATTTTTCAGGTAGACAGCAATGAACTTGCAACAAGAAGTTCCAGGGCAATCAAGAGAGACTTCAGAGCCCTTGGACAATAGGATGATACTTCTCATACTTACAGTTTCAGGGCATGATGAGGGAAGATCACCTGGCTCCAAGCAGATCAACAGCTGGCTCCAAGACTGGTGTCACCAGCAGAACTTTGAGGGTTTTGATCATGGGTCTGTCTACATGACACCAGGCCTGCTGGTGACAGATGGGTACATCTATCTCAACAGGGAAAAGAACCTTTGCACAGGAGTTATCGGGGCTCATTGCAAGAGCTTTAAACCAGATTTATATAATCATAGAATCATAGAATAGTTAGGGTTGGAAAGGACCTTAAGATCAAGTTCCAACCCCCCTGCCATGGGCAGGGACACCTCACACTAAAC